GCATGGTTACGTATGTCATAGCTCTGCAAGGGCCTTTTCAGACAGAAAAAGATGGCCCCCAACAAAACAAACAATTTTCTCATTCAGTATTGTATCTCATCAAGCACCACATGTTTTCAGAGTGTTTATTATGCGTTCCGTCCAAAAAAAGCGCAGTTCAATTTTCTCCCATTGACTTGAGCGATCTCAAAATTGACCCAGTCTTTCTGTCAACAATGTCAAACTTGCAAAGTAAACGCTTCAAATACATATACTGTTGCCCATTAAAATCGCTGAAAGTTCTGAAGCCATCGGTTAGTCGGTGTATTTAGATGTGATGAGCACAGGAACTTTCCTTGAGGTAAGGTCACTTGACGTGACCTGGTGTTATGACCTTGAATTGAAAGACTTGGGCGGGAAAATGGGCCATTTGAAATCTTAAAATGCTAGATTTTAACAATATTTGCAAACACTATACCGGCCAAATAGTGAGTGAGAAGGGAGCGATTCCCCGACCCCATGTTTAGCTCCTATAATTGAGCTAGCTGCTAGAGCCTCGCGGAAAAAAACGAGCGCTTGCGTCGTTACGTGACGAGGCTACTGGTACCCCATTTTAAAATATCAGTGACCTCTCAGGGCAGGTCAAGGGCCCCAAGGCATTTGATCGGTTTTTGGTAAATAACTAAACGCATTATCGTCATTTCGATACAATCGTGTTTTCTGTTCTCAGACACGTCGATTTATACCTATGCTTTTTTGTTTAGGTGAAGCAATTTAGGATGTTTACCTCAGGTCAATGTCATGTTAGGGCAACGCAGGTCACGAAGCTGTTGAAAGGAGGACATGTTGCATAACATTTGATTCGGCAAGACTTGTAAAGTCCATTGATGGCTGTCCCGACTGGCTGGCTCATTTTGATCGGGAGTTATTCGAAGCACTCCTATGACCCTAGTGACGTCATAAATGGCGTCACGCAAGGTGAACAATGCAAAAGTGAAGCATTAGACCTTGCCAAGAATGTATGAAGTCACGATTTCATGTGCTTGAGGTATAGTTTCAGATCATTTCCGACGCCAAATTAACAGTTTCCATAATTCCCCATTATGCTTATATGACACTAAGTGCATTGCTGATTGCATCATTTTATAACCGACAACCGTGCAGAGGTTTACTTAAGACGTCATAGTTAAGTGACCTGACCTGAAAACCTGGTTGATGTCAAGTGATCCGGCTTGAATGAAATGTAAGGCATGTGAAATGTCAGCCTTCTATCATCCGTGTGCTTTGAGCTACCGCAAAAAAAAGTCATGGTGGCGGCGTCCACCCTTTCTTCTCGGCCGGCGAGAGTTAAACCTCACTTCGAATTATTGCAGATAATGATGCGACCGAAAACAAAGCATTTATCTGTATTTAGAACGGCCACTGACTTGTTGGACAAGATCCCCAATCTTAATTCGCTAGATGGGAATAAAATACTCGGTATGTGATGCATTACATATAGGTATACCCCTCGATTTGCCCTCGCGCTAAGTCTATTCTAATCATCACTGTCGCTTTTTTATCCGAGATGATGTCGCCGCTAAACGGGTTGTTTTGTTTGCTTGCTTGCGTTGAATGGCCATTACGGATTATTGAAGGATTATGATAAAATAGGATTGGGGCAAGGGAGGATATGCACTGCGGTGTTTAATTTAGATCACAAAGGCATCATTTCCGGCATCGTGCAGAGTCATTATCTTCCCCTCCTCCGCACTGCGGCATCTCTGCGCCCCACACGCGGCGTCCTCACTCCACGGCCGGCCGCCGCCAACTGACCCACTCGCCGGGCGCCGCGACCTGACCCGTGTCGCTGCCGCGGCCTGCGCAATAGAGTCGGGGCTGGAATCCGGGGGTTCGGCCGGCCGGCTGCCTCTGGAGCGGGGGACTTTTTTAGTAGACCTACTGTACATATGTTGCTATTAGAGGTCACTGGTCATACCAGGCCAGGTCACATGTCAGGTCACCAGAGGTCACCAAGGGTCACCACATGAACCCAACTTTACTAAGGTTGTGCGATGCATGTTTTATGGCCAGTTTTTCATTTTCAACTCAATGGTGTTGCTTATAAGACCATCAGGTACAGTTTAGGTCACTTTCTGGTGGAGGTCAGGTCAAGGTCAGGTCAAAAAAGGTCAAATTTCAAATCTGATATTTTTGCATAAAATGGGTATTGATTCGATGCAGCTCGTCACGGGGAGTCTAATGGTGGTCTTTGTTTTGCACTATGAGGTCTAGAATTGCTAAAAATTGAGTTTGAAAATTTCACGTCATCAATTTTGAAGTTTTTTTTCGCTATAACTTGGCCAAAAAAAGAGGTATCGATCTCAAATTTGGTATGTAGATAGAAGGCGGTAAGGACTATCACAATGATTCCGTTTTTTTTTCGAAATTCAAAAAAAAAAACTTTTTGGATTTTTCGGCTTTTATATTCAAAAAAATCTATTTCTTGATTTTTGGGGGTCAAAATAAAAAAAATCAAAAATCCGAGATCGCATTTTTGTAGCCCTTCAAATTCTACACCTTTTAAGTCTGATACATTTTTCTGCATCTCTAAAGCTGTAGGCCTGACAGCTCTTCTCGCGAAACCTTCTTTGGGTCAAAAATGGCAGATATAGCCTTTGGAAAAAAATTGGTCACAATGTGCAATAGCTGTTCATGGGAGGGTACCGAAAGTTTGGTGACGATCGGCGCAGCAGTTCTCGAGATATATCGCAAAAACTAAAGGGGGGGGGGGCAAAAAATGCCCCCCCCCCGCCTGGAAGGTTAAAGCAAATGATATCGCCAAACAACAACTTCTTCTTATCATGCATCGAAAGTTAAATGGAACCTTGCCGCCATCTCTTGAAATACTATTTTATCTGCAGGATGACCCAAATATCCAAACCAGAAACATACACCACTTTAAAGAGACATTTACACGAAAATTATATCGCACAAAAACTGCTTTCTAGCAAGGTTCTAGACTCTGGAACAGTATCATAGCCCCCCTCCCCCACGTTTTGTTGTCAGAAGTTTGTGAAACATCAAAACAAATCATAAAGAGACATACAAAAAATTAACTTATGCTCAGATACACATAGCAAAAATAAGGTTCTCAAGTCATTTTAATCGAGTCAGTTATTTAGTCAAAAATGCACATTTAAACATGATTTATAAAATCCCTTTTGAAAAGTGACTTTTTTAAAATCTTTTTTGTTTGAAAAAGGATTTCAAACAAATATGCTCCAATATACTATACCTACCTATTCAGACTGCCTATATACGCCACATTCATATGCTGTGCCCTGGCACTCGAGCAGCAAAAAGCCTTGCTTAGCTGGAAGAGCTCCCCTGGTCACACCGGCATAAACACCAGCATTATAGGTATATGACCAGCCAATTTTCTATCTGTATGCACGGAAACCCCCTAACCCAATGTATATGTGAATGTATGAGTGCTCATTTTGGGATCGTAGTGGGAGGTTCAGTCAATGGCTCATTAGTCCATTGACTACTTTCTGCCTTCTTCGTATGCCATACTAACAATCCCTGGCTCCTCTCATTTCTTCTTTGCTTGTGTTTGGTTTATTTCCTTTCTTAGCAAGGAGTGCCGCGACATTTATCTCCTCAGTTTTTTTTTCTGGTGCTAACGTAATAGTTCTGTTGTCGCTGGGTTCGAGGGCGGGGGCACTCCTGGTCACCTGTTCATGGGTGGCGGTGTAGGCCTATTCTTAAAAAAGGTCATGTAAAAAAGGTCAAATTTCAAAATTAATAGTTTTGCATAAAACGGGTATTAATTCGATGCAGCTCGTCACGGGGAGTCTAATGGTGGTCTTTGTTTTGCGCCACGAGGTGTACAATTGCAATAAAAAAGTTTCAAAAATTGTCATCAATTTTGAACAGCTTTTTCGCTTTAACTTGTTAAAAAAGGAGGCATTGATCTTAAATTTGGTATGTTGATAGAAGGCGGTAGGGACTATCACATATATTCTTTTTTTTTTCGTTTTTTCATTTTCGGCTATCATATTCAAATAATCTACTTTTTTATTTGTAGGGGTCAAAATCCAAAAATTTCAAAAATGTGATATTGCAGTTTTGTAGCCCTGTTAATTCTACACCTTTTATGACTCACATTTTTCTGTATCTCTAAAGCTGTAGGCCTGACAGCTCTTCTCGCGAAACCTTTTTTTGGATCGAAAATGGCAGAAATGACGTCACTGCGACGTCATTAGCGGCCAACGTATCATAGCCTTTGGAAAATTTTGGTCACAATGTGCAAAAGCTATTCACAGGAGGGTGCTGAAGGTTTGTTGACAATCGGCGCAGCGGTTCTGGAGAAATATCGAAAAAATTAAGGGGTGGGACAAAAAAATGCCATGCCCCCTCCACCGCCCGGAAGGTTAGAGATCTTAAACCGAGCTATTTATTCTTTTCGGGTCTTTCTCGCTCCCTTAATTTACGAAACAAGTGAATGACCTCAAATACGCCTTCACCCCATGGCATGTCTGGATGAGGCCCCACAAAGGCGCGGGTTCAACTGAAACGTTTTGGCAGACTTTTAAAGTTTTCTTTGCTGTCCGTGGAAGATAAAAATTTGCGTCAATTTCAGACGCTGGGGGGGGGAGGGGGCTTAGATCCACAAAAGACGCTAACTTAAATAAACAAGCCATATATTTAAGACAGGAAGAAGTGTAACGCAGGCAAACTGAAAAAAAACGTTAACACGTAGCCAGTTCCTCTCAATTTTCAAATATGACCATTTCTGCAATGTCGTTTCTGAGTAAGCGGAACATGTTCCACTCACGGCTGTAGACGACCCACTTAAATGTGGCGGAGTGGTCCACTTACATGTGGTGAGAACGGTAGACGGTCCACTTACATGTGGTGAGAGCGGTAGACGGTCCTTGTGCATGTGGTGAGAGCGGTAGACGGTCCACTTACATGTGGTGAGAGCGGTAGACGGTCCACTTACATGTGGTGAGAGCGGTAGACGGTCCACTTACATGTGGTGAGAGCGGTAGACGACCAGCATGATGTCCAGCACGATGACCCAGAGCAGCGCCGAGGCCAGCAGCAGGGTGAGCACCTTGCGGCCGCCGGAGCAGCAGCGCGACCCGTCCGGCACGGTGACGGCGCCGGCCGGCTCCAGCGCTATCGAGTGGTAGACGTGCTTGGTGCCCTCCTGTGCCATCGCCGTCCCCGACATCACAGCCACACCGCCCGGATACGAGAGAAATCCAAAGGGAATTCAGACACGCAAACTAGAATGTTACCGACTCAGGTGGACTGTGGATGTCAAAGCAGCAAGGTGACACAAACTTGAATAAAGTTATCAAAATGTCCAGAGAAAACGCTATCACTATTTTTGACAGAGGGCTACCGTAAGGTTGAACTCGGGTTTGACGGTTTGATGTTTGATTCGTTTGACTGACAGATTCAAAACTTCCAATTCTATATTTCGAATATTTTTTCCAGGCAAATAATGCTCCTTTAAGACCAAAGGACCTCGATTGAAAGGAAAATTGTGTGCAGTCAAAAAGGCACTTTCAATTGAAACAAATTAAAAATAACATGTTTGGTTTGGTTGCAACGGACATGAAAACATAAATTGTCACAATAAATGGTAAACTTTTAAATGGTTAGCTAGGCTAATTGCACGTCTTTGTAAGAAAAAGGTTTTGAAATATGCACACAGGCTTACTTTCCAATGAAAGCATGATGAACACATAAAATATACGTTTGCAAATATCTACAGGTTGCGCAAAACTGTTCTGGCTCTCTTCGGTAAGCGCTACCACGCACGCTGCGGCTGCTGTCCGGGCAGCCAATAGCCGCACGCAGGATCTTCAATGACCTTGCCACGGCGCTACGCAGCCGGAGCTCAAACAAGGCAGGCCATTAACCCGCGCCCTGCTAGAGGGGTGTTCGAACATCCCCCCCCTGTGGTTTTTCGCGAATATCTCAAAAACGGCGGAGCGGAGTGTATTTTCGACATATCCCACAAATGACCTTAGGTCATCGCATGACCTTGAGAGGTCAAATGAGTGTTGGGAATGTAAGATTAGATGCTGGCGAGTCGATTGGTGCCATTTTTGCGCTCTAGCTCTACTGGGTGGGCCACAATCTGCTGTGCAAATTTGGGCCACGTGACCTTTGCTGACCTCTGTAGGTCAAACGACTGGGAGTGCCGCCGAATGACTTGGACTGTGGATTGGGCATGTCATGGCCTACATTGTGTGCGAGTTTCAGCTTGATCGGAGGTGTCCCGAATCTGGGCTGAATCCGGGCTGAATCTGGGCTGCATATGGGCTGTCTTGACGGACATCCACAGCGGACCGTCCACCGCACGCAGCCGTGACGCCAGAACCGCCTACCCATCTCCTACCCCCACGCCTGCTGGACGCACCGGACCGCACCGCACACACCGCACGCAGCAGTGTGCGGTGCCCGTGAACACCCCTAAGGTCAAAACACAGGATAGCCCAGGATAGCCGATGGTTTGGCACTCCCCAATATTTTTTTTTTTACAGATATCACAATTCACAGGCAGGGACGTATCCAAGGGGGGCGACGGGGGCGGTCGCCCCTCCCTGGGCCCTGCTGGGCCCCAAAAGCGGGCCCGGTAGGGCCCGCTAGGTAGCCCGAAAGCGGGCCCGAAGGGCCCGCTTTTGGGCGTAGCCAGGAACAGTTTGGGGTCGGCAGGGCCAAAAATCGGAAGGGCCTGTTCAGAAGGATTTGTTCGAGCCTTCGGGTTCAGTGATGGGCCCCTGGGGCCCTGCCGGGCCACAAACAGGTCCGTAACTGGGCCCTTCGGCCCCACTTTTGGGCAGAGCGAGGGCAATTGGATGCCCGGCAGGGCCCCAAAGGCGGAAGGATCCGTTCAGGAGGATATGCTCGAGCCTTCTGGCTTGAGGAAGGGCCCCTATGGCCCTGCCGGGCCCCAAACCTTATCAATTTTGGACCCCAAACCCTTATCGGCCTGTAGGTCCGTCTTTTGACCTTATTGGCCTTGGAGAAGTTATGGAAAGCGGATCCGAAAAAAAATCCTTTTTCGGGCCCAGTCACAAGGACATCTTGTCCTGTACGGGCCCTTGAAGTGGAATGGCCCGCTGAGAAGATCTTGTCCAATGTCCAGGCTTTCGGGTTAAAAAATGGCCCCACGAGGCCTTGCTGGTGCCCAAACGGGTCCCTGGCCGGGCCACAAAAGCGAACTGGGCCAAGCCAATGACAACCTGGGGCCCGGGAGGTCTCCAAAAGCGGAAGGGCCCGCTCAGAAGGCCTTGGACCAGGCTTTTGAGCTTAACCCTATTCCTGGCGGGGGGGGGGCCTCAGGAGCCCCCCCCCTGAGGTTTTTTGGTTATTTCTCCCAAACGCGTTGAGCTAGGAAGCTCAAATTTTCTGAATTTTCCTATAAGGCTTCTACGCAACATGTCTGAAAATTTTGAGTTGATCTGACCTCAGGTCAGGTCACCAGAGGCGGTTTGGTGACCCTACCTCAGAAAAGTTTGCAATCACGCCAGAGCTAGAGTTTTTGACCGATCAATTTCTTCTCTTCAGGCTTTAGTTAGGGTACCAGTATGTGCAATTTGTATATCTCGGAATTTTGATATCGGTGACCTAAGGTCAGGTCAGTTTCGCGACCTCCCCGTTATAAGTCAATGGGGGAAAAATCAACTCCCTGTTTTTACCACTAAAACGGGTCGGAATGGCCCCATATACCATACATGACTTCATATACGATCAACCTTCACTACCTTGAGGTCTGTTTTGCCGTTGGGCAGCTGTGAGGTCATGTGACGTCATCAAAGGTCACCAAAGGTTTTTGGCCAATAACTCCGTACAGGAACAAGATACAGACGCGTGGATGGTCTCATTGTGTTCAGCTCGTCAAGACGCATCGAATGATATACATGATGACCTCGAGGTCACGTGACCTGAGGTCAACCTTTGACCTTGACCTTTCGAGGTCAACATATATGTCATTCGATGCGGATTGACGAGAGGATCACGATGATGCCCTTAGTTTGTTCCTATCTTGACTAATTCGAAAGTTATTCGAGAAAAACTCTCCATATCTAGCGCCGCCATTTTGACTTTTTCGACCCCTGTGACGTCATCTTTGACCTGACCTGAAAATGACCTTTGTAAAAATTGTAGACCTTGTCCATGCGTATCCGATGCCGTTTACCGCTTGTCGCTATCTTGCTTCGTTCTCGAGATCTCAGGGGGGGGGGCCGAATCGCCCCCCCCCCCGGCCAGTTTCTTGTCCCGGCGAAGCCCGCCAGGAATAGGGTTAAGTGATGGGCCCTTGGGCTCGACAATGTATCAAGAAAACGGGCCCAGATATGCGCTTCCGGGGCCCAGTCTCAGAAACAGCTTGTCCTGGCCGGTCCCCAGAAACGGAAGGGCCCGCTGAGAAGGCCTTGCCCAGGTCATCGGGTCCGAGGAACAGGCAACGGCCGATAATTGGCCCCCTTCGACTGACCTCGTGAGTCGTGGGGCTGCTCCTGTATACAGTTCTCCAAACAAAATGACCTCTATAGTTCGTAGTACTATAAGCGTTCTGTACAAAAAGTACCATTCCCAATTCAATTTTTTTTTCTTTGTAGGTACTGCTCACTGAACTGATTTTATAGTTGAACTGACAAGAATGAGCAATGTGTTAGCGTGAACAGTGCAACACAATGGGTGAATGGGTGAAAAATGCAACCCAGATCTCCCCAGCCGGGAAGCCGGGAGGTATCCCCCAGCTCTAACCGGACCGGGACGTTTGGCCCGTGAGCCAAAATTTGTCTATTTCAACAATTTTCGAAGCACCTGAGGACTAACTCGGAAACCAATAGAGCTACAGCGCCGCGGAAAAAACGCATTAGATAACCCTTATTTGAGTTGTGTTTTCAGACTTGACCTCAGGTAAACGGTACCTATAGCCTGCAGAGGGCAAAAACTCTAAAAATAGCCGTTTTTCACAAACTTTTTTTCGGTAATAACTTTTTCTTCAAAACTTTTTCTTCTTCTTCTTCACATTACTTCTGCCAGCATCGTGTTCCTCTCGCCGAGACACGTCGAAGGAACTATATGTTGACCTTGAAAGGTCATTTTGAAAATTTGACCTCAGGTCAAGGCCATGACCGAACCGGAAAGGGTCATGTTGCATATCAGTCGACCCGTATCGTCGAGCTGAACACATCTGACGTGTTTTCATCGCTCTAGGCATATCTCTATTAACCCTCGCATGTGTAGGGGGGGGGGTCGGATGGACCCCCCCCCATGGTTTTTCGCGAATAACTCGCGTAAAAAGCGGCCGATCGCGACGAAACTTTCAGTACCCTCACATTGATCAATTTTACACCTACCCTGAAAATTTCATGACCCTGACCCAAATGACCTTTGACCTGTGACCTCTTTTCCGAGACCATGTTTGGCCGGAATCGCGATTCTGCGTATGTCGGCTCGCATTAGCCGCGCGTTTGCAAGCTTTTCGTGGTTTCAAACGTTCAAACATGTGATTTGATGTTGCTTCCATGCATTAGGGTGGGTGTCAAGGTCACCTCTGAAGGTCAGGTCAGGTCATTGACCTTTGGTGACCTCGGGTGACCTCGGTTCACTTTTTCGAGCTGTACATGTTTCTAGGCTAGTTTTTGGAGCTGAATTCGAATTTAGCAACCATTTGATCATTTACGAAGTAGTTTTGGTGCCTTCGTAACATATTACGAAGCTGTCAGAGGCGGTTGACACGTACTACGAATACCCGTCACGATGCCTACTGGTTGACCTGACCTGACCTGACCCGACCTGGTCTAAATGCTTAAAGACATCATCTGTGATCAAAACTAACACGATATTCGTGATCAGCACCCCGAAAAACCCCTTAGCAGCCACACTTTACGACTTTCTAACAGGTCCCGATTTTCCCGACTTTGGGTCATTGACCTGACCTGGAAGGTCACCCAATGACCTAGGACCTTAAAATTGGGTATCATCGGCTTCCTCTCGTCACGGGCAACACGCTCGTTTTTTCCGCGAAGCTCTAGCTCGATCAGGGGCCAAACGGCAAGGGGGGGGGTCCAACCGACCCCCCCCCTACACATTAGAAGCTGGCAAACGCCGCACACATGCGAGGGTTAAAAGTTATAGTGAAAAACTGCTGGTGACCTTTCATGACCTGAGATAACCTCAGGGGCACACAGAGGGATCACAGGTGCAAATTTCCGAATCATTGTTGATTGTGTCATGTTTACCTAAGAACCGATGTTTTTGACGGTTTAGAACGACAGTCGCCCAAAAGAGGCGCATTTCAACTTTCTCCCATTGATTTATAATGGGGAGGTCGCAAAACTGACCTGACCTTAGGTCACAAATATAAAAAATCGAGATAAACAATTTCTACATAGGTAGGTACTGTTACTCTTATCAATCCATTAACCCTATT